GCTTTTGCATTCATGAGGTGACTGAAAATAACAGGCGTTGGGTCACGTGCACCTTAGTCCTCAAGGTGACATCTTTGCTTTTTAACACTTTAAACAGACAGGTCTTTTGCAGCAGATTTGCCCAATGCAATGCATCATTTAGTTTCTTGACTGCTGCTATCATGGGCGATGATGAAAATAAAATCCTTGATAACTTAAATATTTCCTCTATTTATGATGATGTTGCTTACTGGTCCCATTGTGAGGATTTTTTTTTTTTTCCTTTATGTTCTTTTTGTTGAAGTGTAATCTATACTAAGACTGTATCTTTGGTCTTTATCAGTAAGTGCTTTAAGTCCTCTTCATTTTCAGTTGTGTCATCTGCAATATCACAGGTTGTTAATGAGTCTTCCTTACAAAAAACCAAACCAAACTCACTGCCATCGTGTCAGTTTGACTCATAGCAACCCCTCCTTGGGTTTCTGAGGCAGTATCTGTATGGAAGTAGGTTGCCCAGTCTTCCTTCCGAGGAATGGCTGGTGGGTTTGTACTGCCAGCTTTCTGGTTAGCAGTCAAATGCCTTAGGCACTACACCACCAGAAAATACCAGGGGTTGGGTCAGGTGCAATTTAATCTTTAATCTTTGCTCCTCAGCACTTGAAAGAGGTCTTTTGCACTAGATTTGCCCAGTGCAGTACAATGTCTGATTTCTTGACTGCTGCTTCCATTGGTGTTGATTGTGGATCCAAGTAATATGAAATCTTTGACAACTTCAATCTTTTCTCCATTTATTGTGATGCTGCTTATTGATCCAGTTGTGAGGATTTTCATTTTCTTTATGTTGAGGTGTAATCCACACTGCAGACTGTAGTCTTTAATCTTCATCAATAAGTGCTTCAAGTCATCTTCATTTTCAGCAAGCAAGTTTGTGTAATTTCCATATCACAGGTTGTTAATGAGTCTTCCTCCAGTCCAGATGCTTGGCTCTTCTTCATATAGTCCAGCTTCTTGGATTATTTGCTCAGCACACAGATTGAATAAGTATAGTGAAAGGACACAACCTTGACACACACCATTTCTGATTTTAAACCATGCAATATCCCCTTATTCTGAGCAAATGACAGCCTCCTGGTCTATGTGCAGGTTCCTCATGAGCACAATTAAATGTTCTGGAATTCCCATTCTTCCAATGTTGTCCATAATTTGATACCCATAATTTGTTATGATCCACATAATGAAATGTCTTTGCAGAGTCAATAAAACACAGATGATCATCTTTCTGGTATTCTGTATGTTCAGCCAAGATCCATCTGACATTGGCAATGGTATTCCTCATTCCATGTGCTCTTCTGAATCAGGCTTGAATTTATGGCAGTTCCCTCTCAATATACTGCTGCAACCATTGCTTTTGAATTATTTCCAGCAAAATTTTACTTGCATGTGATATTAATGATATTGTTCAATCATTTCTGCATTCTGTTAGATCACTTTTCTTTGGAATGGGCACAAATATGGATTTCTTTCAGTTGGTCAGCCAGGTAGCTGTCTTCCAAATTTCTTGGCATAGACAGAGTTTCCAGCATTGTATCTATTTGTTTAAACATCTCATTTGGTATTCCATCAATTCCTGGAGTCTTGTTTTTCTCCCAATGCCTTCAAGGCATCTTGGATTTCTTCCTTCAGTGCCATCAGTTCTTGATATGCTTCCTCCTGAAATGCTTGAACATCAATCATTGTTTTTGGCATAATGATTCTGTGTATTCTTCCTTCAATCTTCTTTTGATGCTTCCTGTATCATTCAATATTTTACCCATAGAATCCTTCAGTATTTCAACTCTAGAGTTGAATTTTTATTATAAGGAAATATGCAAAAACATGCAATTTAGAAAAATCAAAAGGGAAGGAAACACTCAGCATTTCTGAAGCTAAAAGAATTGAAGAAAACATTCAAGCCTCAGGCTACAAGTCTGAATTCAGGGTGTTACTCCAGGGGGTGAGTCCTTCCTTATCTATTACAGCTTCTAGAAGCTGCCAGCAATCCTTGGTGTTCCTGGGCTTGTAGATATATCTGTTTTCATCACCTGTCTTCTTCTTCCTTGTGTGTATGTCTCTGTGTTTACTCTGCTCTTTGTATAACTCAGAAGTGATTAGGTTTAGGACCACCCTACTCAATTACCTAATTAAGAAAACCCTGTTTCCAGAAAGGATCACATCCATAGGTATAGGGTCCAGTACTTCAATACATATATCTGTGGGACCACAATTCAATCCACAACAAAGGCATTCTTTGGCTCACTTAGTGGTAGTTAGTTGTTAAAATATGAATTCTAATTTTGCTTCTATTTAATTGCTCCAGAAGCCATTCTTCCTGCTAAGGATGTCCTTCCATTCTTCTTCTCTATTACCACACCATGACCTATTATCTCTACTTTATTTACACAAGTTAACACATAGACATATTCCTGTTATAAGAGATTTTAACATATAATCAAATATCCTTATTGATGGACATTGTGATAATTTATTCACCATTATAAACAGTGCTGCTGTGAACATTATAATACATGTATCTTGTAAAAATATATTTAGGATTTCTAAGAGAATTACTGTTTATCTAAAATATGTAGATACCACCAAAATTGCCCTCTCAAGGCTTTATGAATTCATCATGCTTTCAATAGCGTGAATGTGCCTATTCCCATCCCCACCAATAATGGTCATTATATATACTTTTAATTTCTGCTGATAGTTGTTAGCTGCTGTGGAGTTGATTCAGAATCATGGTGATCCTGTGTGTGTCACAGAATTGTGTTCTACAGCTTTTGGAAGCAGATTGCCCGGGCTGTCTACTGAGTCACCTCTGGGTGCGTACTTAATGACAACCTTTTGGCTAGTGGTCAAGTGCTTAACCATTTGCACCACCAAGAGTAAAATCAACTAATTGTTTTTTAAATCTGCATCTCTCTGATTTTGTTGAGTGAAATATATTTTCCTGTATTTTGGGAGCATAATTAACTTTGTATACTTTTCTATTGGGCTGTTTGCCTTTTCTAACTGATTTCTAGGTACTGTTTATTCAGATAGCAATCTTTTGTGTTTTATGTTACAAATAGGTATGTCTACTTAATTTCTAAAAGTTTAACTCAACTCCCTGCTTCCTCTTTGAGAACTTTGCTGACTGCTCCTGTCACACTGCTTGCTCCCTGATTACTCACAGCACTGAGCACGCAACACATGACTCCACAAAGATTCATCTTTTTATCTGTGTATCTAATCTATAGTTATTCAAACAAAAGAAAAATCTTCATAACTGGACCAATAAGCAACATCTTGATAAACAAAGAAAATATTGAAGTTGTCAAGGAGTTCATTTTACTTGGATCCACAATCAACACCCATGAAAATAGTCAAGAAACCAAATGATGTATTGCATTGGGCAAAAGAACTTTTGTATTAAAAAAGCAAAGATGTCACTTTGAGGACTACAGTGTGCCTGACCCAAGCCATATTTCCAATTGCCTCATATGTACGCAAAAGCCGGGCAATTAGTAAGATTAAAGAACTGATGCCTTTGAATTATGGTGTTGGTGAAGAATGTTGAATATACTACGATCTGCCAGAAGAACAAACAAATCTGTTTTGGAAGAAGTACAGCCAGAATGCTTCGTAGAAGTGAAGATGGCAAGTCTTCATCTTACGTACTTCAGACATGTTATCAGGAGGGGCCCATTCCTGGACATCATATTTGGTAAAGTAGAGGGTCAGCAAGCAAGAGAAAGAAAACTGAGTGACTGTCACAGGCTCCAACAATGAGATCCAGCATAGCAATGATTGTGAGGATAATGCAGGGCTAGGCAGTGTTCTGTTGTACACATGATCATTATGAATTGAAACCGACTTGACAGACATCCAATAACAATCCCTTATCTATTCAGCTTAAAAGCTGAAATAGGATTTTATTGTTCTTTAACCTGCTCCTTCTATTTTCTCTTCTCCTTCTTTGTCTTTTCCCTAAACACCAATACTAGGGCTCAAAATGGATTATAAAGCCTGCTATGCTTCAGATTTGGACTTTTAATATATAAGAGCTCAAGAAATGTTTGTTACTGTTGATAATATGAACACATGGCCCCTTTACAGTTCAGCTTCTGCAAGGGTCACTGCACCCACCCCCCATGTCATATAGAATTAGATAGGAAGTCACAGAATGGGTACAGTAGTCCTATGAAAGAAAAAAGAAAAGTGATGGCAACTCTTATGAATTGGCAAACACCATCCCCTAAAAGGAAGCATCATTCAGCCACAGAAATTATTGTCAAGTTGGAATACAAGCTTTAGGTTGACAGGTTTTCCATTTTGTAAAAGCTGAAAATCTCTATCTTAAGGTTAAATATAATTGTTAAATGTTAGGTCACCATTGCGTCTGTTGGATTGGGAGTACATGGAGGTCACACCTTGCATCTGATTACTTTAACAGAGCATGGCATATACCAGGTACCCAATGTTTGCTAAAGAAAAATTTTCCCTGTTTGCTTTCTTCCTCCCATTAGACTGAAACATCCAGAACAACTAATGAAAGATACAGGCTAATTCACTGTCAATAATTAGTTTTTCCAGTGTTGTTTAATATTCTTTCTCTCCAACTAGACTCTAACTAACATGAAGGCAAAGATCATGTTATTATCACATTAGTTTCTAACACAATGCCTGGCATCTGGGAAGATCTCAGAAATATTTGCTGTTGTTGAACCAATGACTGAATAAATGAAGACATAATCAAGCAACAATTTACCTTTAGGTTGTAAATTTACTTTTAAAATTAAAATGTCCGTGTAATCCGTTCAGTACTTGGCAACTGACCCAACCCCTTGTTTCACATGGTAAAACAGGTAGAATAGTATGGGTGAGGCTGTATGGGATCTGACCATGAAAACATGATCGCTCTTTATAACAGCCTGACTTAACCCAAGTCCCAAAGACTGTTCCCAAACTTTATACCTTCTGGCCCATACGTCCAATGTTTAGGATTTCTTCCTCCCATGATTGCTCTGGGTGCTAGTTTCTACAGGGCCTTTCTCTGGGAATAAGTGGTGGGAACTGGCTTGCTCTTTCTTTCTTTGCAGCTCCTCCCGCCGCTTTGCCTGCTGTTCACTCATGCAGTCCCTGAAGGCCTGCACCTGTGGCTGGCACTGCCGCCAGTCCTGGTGCTGGGCCATGCACTCCTGCACAGCATAGTGGGAGGCAGCACAGCCAGAGCGGGAAATTAGCTGGTCCAGTGGGTCTTCTTCCTCATTTTCCTTTACTTGTCGGGCCCATGTATGGCCTTGAGGGACAGAGGTTGACATCTTGGGGAGTCTCTAGAACATTAAGACAGGCAAGGTTAGAGCAGGGACATGGTATATGAAGTTCCTCTATTATAAATAACACTGACCAAATAGCACTGTTATAGCCTGTTTATATGTCCATGGACTGCCAAAAGAAAGTACAAATCTGTCCTGGAGGAAGTGCAGCCAGAATGCTCCTTGGAAGCAAGAATGGCCAGACTTCGTCTCACCTATTTTGGTCATGTTGTAAGAAGGGACCATTCCCTGGAGAAGGATGTCGTGCTTGGTAGGGTGGAGGGTCGACAAAAGAGGGGGAGGCCTTCAACGAGATGGATTGACACGGTGGCTGCGATGATGGGCTCAAGTATAGCAGGGATTGTGGGGCTGGCGCGGGATCGGGCAGTGTTTCATTCTGCTGTGCATGGGGTCGCTATGAGTCGGAAACGACTTGACAGCACTTAACAACAACAAAGTTTGGGAACACAGAGGAGAGGTATATAATCCTGACAAGAGTAGGAATAAGCAGGAAAGGCTTCCTGGGGAAAGTAATTTCTATACTGAGATTTGAAGGAAAATAGCAATTAGCCTATAGTGCCTAAGGCACTTGACTGCTAACCAGAAAGCTAGTGGTTCAAACCCACCAGCCACTCCTTGGAAGGAAGGTTGGGCAATGTACTTCCGTAGTGATAACCCCTCGGAAACCCAAACGGGTCACTATGAGTCAGGTCTGACTTGAGGGCACATTAACAGCAGTTAGCCAGAGATAGGGAGAAGAATATTCCTGGCCAAAGGAAGTACAAGCCCAGGCTGGAGGTTGGAGGCAGAATTTGACACATGAAAAGTTCAGCATTACTCAAGTATATAGTATGAGAACAGGACAACAAATGAAACTGGAGAGACAAGAAAGTGTATGATCATGACAAGGCCTTGTAGGTCATGTTAAGGAGTCTGACTTTTATCCTGAGGGCAAAGGGGAAGCCATGAGAATTTAAGCACTGTATGGCCCTACATAAAACTTACTTGCTTTGGAAGGCAGTATAACCTAAGTGGAGTGGGCGGAAATGGCCTTTGAAAATTGACTTAGATTGGAAATTTTGCTTTGTCACTGACTCATTGGGTGACCTTGGGAAAGTCACTTAATAATCTCTCTTGAAAAAAACAAGTAATATCTACCTCATAAGATTGGGAGGCTAGAACTTTCAAAGAGATCAATAAATGATAATTCCTATTGTTCATTTTTCTCTTTAAATACACCGTGAGCTCTTTAAAGGCAAGAGGCAAACTTAACAGTAAGCATGGCAGAAAGGAAAGTACCCTGGAACCTAAGCCTAGAGATCTGTGGTCAACTAAAGACATTACACCTTACTATGCAATCTTTTTAGTTTCTTAGTGTGGATTAATATAATGAGGGCAATAGTAGTTCAGTGGTAGAATTCTCATCTTCCATAAGGGGGACCCTGTTGATTTCCAGCCAACACACCTTAAGTGCAGGCACTATTCATGTCAGTGAAGGCTTGAACGTTTCTGTGATGTAGAACAAATATCAAAGGAGTTCTAAACTAAGAGAGCCTAGGAAGAAAGGCCTGGTGATCTACTTCTAAAAATCAGCCAGTGAAAACCCTATGATCACAAAGCTCCAATCCTGTTGTGCATAGGGTCACCATGACTCAGGCCAACTCCTTGGCAGTTAAGGACTACAAGAGCAGTATGATAATGAATGCAAAGTGGATGGGCTACACAATAGGGGTTCAGTAACTGCTCTTATGCTTTTTCCCCATTACACCCACCACTACATCCTGGCTTCAGTTTCCCTAAGAGTAAAGTGAGGAAGATCAGGCAGGTGGTCGGCAGGTGGATCAAGGAGGCCGGCCTGGAACAGAAAGGCATAGGAATGAACGGGAAAGCAGCTAACTCCCGGTAGTCAGGTCATCTGCGGCTCCTCGCCCACCTTAAAAAAAAAAAAAAAAAAAAAACGCATGCGCGCGTACGGTGCCGAACGCCGTAGGAAACACCGTCACGCCTACTCACGCAAAGATACTGCACGCCGCGCTCACTCGAAAGGCGAGAGAAGTGAAGTGGAATGTGTGCTCCTGCGCAGCGACGCCGGTTTGGCAGCGGAGGCTATGATGGCAGTTGTAGCTTTTCAGTCTCTATGAACCGGCCCTTGCATGGGAAGGGCGTGCGCAGGAGTGGTCGTCACTAGTGGGAGAACCCACCGCACAGTTTCGTTGGGGACTTCTTTGTAGAACCCTCCCTTTGCCCTCGCCACCGCCCCTTTAGGGACTCACTTCCGGGAAAGAGTGGGGTAGACGGAAGAGGCGGCCTGCTGGAGGCGGGGCCAAGATGGCGGCGCCTTTGAGGATTCAGAGCGACTGGGAACAAACCCTCAGGTGACTCAAGGCCCGGAACCCGGGAGGAGGAGGCGGGTAGCGAGTGTTGCCTTTGCATTAAGAGAGCCGTGCCCCGTCCAGGATATTCAGTTTTTGAGGGAATTTTAGGAAACGGTCTAGAAAAAGACAAGTCTCAAATCCACATAGTCATTGTATTATATTCTCTGAAGAGTTATTCTAAGAGCAAGAGAAGAGATACGCATCGAGTGACCCTAACGTCAGAACTAGGATCAATGAGTTGGAAAACGACAAGAAAACTGGGAGGCAGGAAGACTCTTGGCCCAGTAGTCACTTAGCAAATAGTTACTGGTCATCAATTATTTACAAAAATCCCAGTACCCACCACCATATATGTGTTTGAGTGATGATGTTGAAAATCTTTGTATCCTCCTCAGTGCCTAGCATATTGTTCGGCATATTGGACAGTTTTCTTCAGGAAATAATGCAGCATGTTCCATGACCAAGCCCTGTACTAGATGCTCTGTAGAGTTCATAGGTGTATTCTGAATTTTAAGACTTGTTTTTGCCTTGAAGAAGCTGACAACGTAATTGGGAACACACAGGAAACCATTAAACATAAATTATTTGATCATCCACTGTTCTAGGGTACCAGAATGAGTACTGCAATGCAGTACATGGCAACTTTTGTCTCAGGAAGCTGACAACTTAATTTGGGATGCGTATCAAACCATTTCATTCATTTAACAAGTATTGATTGCCTGTAGTGTGACAGCTGTTACTATAGGCACCAGGATGGGAATAGCAGTGCAATAAATGGCAACTATTATTACTACTAAGGATTTTTCAAGTTGAAACAGTGGTGAAGATGAATAGCATACTACCTTAAAAAAAAAAAAAAAAAAACTTACACTTTACTGGAGGGTTAAAATAAATGCAGAGTACTGACTACAGCACTGAGTGTGTGACTCGCAATAAAGGAAGAACCCTAACATTTATTGAGTCCTACTTGATACTGCCTTGGAAACCCAAGAACGGGTCTCTATGAGTCACGTCTGACTCGACGACACACAACAACAACAACAAAGCTATGAGAGAATGCATGATCAAAATCAGGAAGTAACTTGCCCGAGATCATCTAGCTAATAAGCTATAGAGGCTTGTGTCAGCCTAGATTTTTCTTGAAGGCCTAAGCCCATTTCACTACTCCCTAAAAGTTTTTAGGGTGAAGACATCAGGATTTAAATGCTTGAGGAGGTGCACTCTGAAGCATGTAAAAAGGCAGTATGAGGTGGTAGAAAGAAGGCAGACCTTATTGTGTACTAGCACCAAGTTCCAGGTTCATAGCTAGGGAACCTTGGGAAGTCATGTCTCTGAGCTTTAACATGGGAGTAATAAAAGATATTTTGTTCAGTTGTGAAGTTTAATGATGTGTGCAAGGCACCTGATACAGGGTTTGGCTTACTATAAACCTAGTAAATATCTATATATAAAATAACTTTGACTTTCAAAGCTGCACAGCAATAATAGTAATTAACTCCCTATCAGTGGACGTGTTTGAACATTCATTTAACCAACTAATGTATCTAGTCATTGAATACTTAATCCACAAATATTTCTTTAACAAGTAAAGTTCAGTTGTCCTAGAATAAAATATACCTAGATAGGAGGTTTTACTAGATCATGTCTAGGTGTTATGGCCAACCTGGAAACTATGACTTTTTCTTCCCTTGCACCATTGGCATCCTTTCCAGCTTTGAGTAAGCCTAACTAGGCTTTTGTCTCTTTATAGGAAGGATGAAGGGGAAGCCTGGCTGAGCTGTCATCCCCCAGGTAATGTTCATAAATCTGTATGCCCTCCCTTTAGAGAAGGATTTACTAATCCTAAAAGAGAGCTTCGTAC